GCTTATCTTTGAGTTTGTAAATATTTACTTCACTCGGAGATCAATGTCTTGCTTATAACTGAGATGTCTTTAATTATTAATGCTGTTCGGAGTTATGAAAATATTAGTCGCTTATATTTGAATCTATGACTATTGATTCGTTGATAAGTAAATATTGGTCATTTACATTTTACTCTATAAGTATTTACTTGGCACGGGGACAGGTAATTATTGGTCGCTAATATTTGAGTTTGTAAGCGTTAGATAAAACAAGTCTATAATAATAAATGTATTTTCTTTTTTTTTTCGGCGATAGACAAATTGTATTGGTTTATAGTTGAGTTTGTAAGCATTTTCTTTATTTCGCAGTAGATAAACACGAGTCGATTTTATTGATTGCAAGACTTTACATTTTTCAGGGATAGGCAAATTTTGGTTGTTTATATTTGAGTCGAAAAGCATTTATTTTCATTCGCCATAGATTAAAGAAAAAAAAACATGTTATTTGTATTGAACTACCTTAAAAGTCGGACTCTAAAATGGCTCCTCTGGTTCACTCTTAGAAAACAGCAATGATAATTTTGAAGAAATAACTTCCCCAATTCATACAATGGAACTTTAAAACCCTGCTTTAACTCTGATTCAGGCTACAAGTCCAATTCCGGCCAAAAGCTCAATCTGAGTCGAAAGTCCCGTTTAGCCGAACTTCCGATTCAGGCTTGTTACAGTTTTTTGTGTATATACTATGACTAGTGAGTTAGTGAAAATGACTTAACTCCCTTTATAGTCTACCAATAGAAGGTTAACCAATCAGAAGCTGCAGAACATTGTATTCGTCGTGTATAAAGGCGGCCATTTTAGTTTACCCTACCCGAATGACCAGTGCCAACTGGTCAGGCGAAGATGACTAAAGGAAGAACTACGTTCTGCTACGATGTCCACTGCGAACCTGAACTACGCTTTCCTACTGTCTCCGAAATATTCACTGCCAACCTCTGGATTCTATACTCGAAGACGACCGTCATGAATTTGTAACAGGCCTAAGTTCCAATTCAAGTTGAAAGTTTAACCATTTCAACAGTGAAAGGGTGGGACTGAGATGCCAACCTAGTAGCACGTTTAAATTCATGCAGCCTGGGAACTAGCGAAAGTAGCTCGCCGGAGCAGTTACCGTGAAAGTATTTGTAGAAAAGACAGAGGGAGGCGACGTCACGTCTCTGAGAGAGCGACTGTAGACGAGATGCTAGCTCAGGACCAACCACGTTGCATATCCGTCTCTGGATCTTGTCGAGGACCTCAAGGCGAACAGCGGGGGCACCAGACCAAATATGGAGGCAGTATTCCATGCAAGAGTGAACGGTTGATTTATAGATTTGAAGGATGGACTCGGCCGAGAAAAACTTTTTGGCGCAACACGGGGGACCAACTTTCCTTGCACTAGATGAAGCTATTGATTCAATGTAATTGTTTTATTTCAGGTCAGCAGACAGTGTGAGACCAAGCAGTCGCAAAGAGGTACTCTTGTGGAGTTGAGCATCAGGCATTCTAATCGGTGACAGTGATAGTTTATTGAGTTAAGAACTACATATAATATTAGACAAGATAATCAGTAATTAGCTGTAAGAAACTTAAAAGCAAGACACCATGCGAACTTTTAATCTGGCTTCTGCGGCGGTCTAAATGCGCCTCGGGTCCCCAAAATAAAGGGATCCTAGATCCAGCTTAGAAAACAGCAAAGATAATTTTGAAGAAATAACTTTCAATTCCACAATTCTTTTTTTTTCAGCGATAGACAAATTGTAACGTTTTATATTTGAGTTTGGAAGCATTTTCTTTATTTCGCAATAGATAAACACGAGTCGATTTTATCGATTGCAAGACTTTACATTTTTCAGGGTTCGGCAAATTTTGGTTGTTTATATTTGAGTCGAAAAGCATTTATTTTCTTTCGCCGTAGATAAAAAACATGTAATTTGTATTGGACTAGATTAAAAGCCGGATTCCGTTCCATTTTTAAGGTAGCTCTTCTGGTCCACTCTTAGAAATCAGCTAAGATAATTTTGAAGAAATAACTTTAAATACCTCAATTCACTCCATGGAACTTTAAAACCTCACTTTAACTCTGATTCAGGCTATAAGTCCAATTCAGACCCAAAGCTCGATCTGGGTCGAAAGTCCCGTTTAGCCGAACTTCCAACTCGGGTCTAAATTCCAATTCAAGTTAAAAACTAAGTTCTTCAAATTACAAACTCTGCGGAACTTCAAAACATCACGTCATGAAACCTCTCATTTGATCTCTGATTCCTTGAGATTTTGAAGAAATAAAATTGATTTCCGCGCTTCACAAAGGTTTTGTAGTTACTTTGAACACAAAATAAGTTAAAAACTTTTAAAATCAGTAATTGTTTAGCATTTAGCATTTAACTTAAAATTTGAATTTTTAAATGTTCCTTCGCCATCGGGACAGAAATCCAAATAATGGATATTTAGACACCAAATGAAGGGCAGATTTTCAATCCTGGGATCATCCGGATTCCAAAAAGATATATGTTTCTGCAGAGCAAGTGTGGTTCGAGTTTAGAGAAGTTTCAGACTCACGGACGGACAGACACAATTTGACGTTTATTTATTTAGATGAAAAATTTCATATTTTACGGATGAGCAAATTTTGTTTGCATTTACTTGAGTCTATAAATATTTGATTGGTTTGAGGATAGGTAAATGCTGGTCGTTTATATATTTGAGTGTATAAATAATGTCTTGATTCGAAGATAGGTAACTATTTCTAGGTTATATTTGAGTCTATGGACAATGTCTTGGTTCGGAGGATAGGTAAATATTGCTCGGTTATATTTGAGTCTATGAACAATGTCTTGGTTCGAGGATAGGTAAATATTGCTCGGTTATATTTGAGTCTATGAACAATGTCTTGGTTCGGAGGATAGGTAAATATTGCTCGGTTATATTTGAGTCTATGAACAATGTCTTGGTTCGGAGGATAGGTAAATATTGCTCGGTTATATTTGAGTCTATGGACAATGTCTTGGTTCGGAGGATAGGTAAATATTGCTCGGTTATATTTGAGTCTATGGACAATGTCTTGGTTCGAGGATAGGTAAATATTGCTCGGTTATATTTGAGTCTATGAACAATGTCTTGGTTCGAGGATAGGTAAATATGGCTCGGTTATATATGAGTCTATGAACAATGTCTCGGTTCAGAGGATAGGTAAATATTGCTCGGTTATATTTGAGTCTATGGACAATATCTTGGTTCGAGGATAGGTAAATATTGCTCGGTTATATTTGAGTGTATGAACAATATCTTGGTTCGAGGATAGGTAAATATTGCGCGGTTATATTTGAGTCTATGAACAATGTCTTGGTTCGGAGGATAGGTAAATATTGCTCGGTTATATTTGAGTCTATGAACAATGTCTTGGTTCGAGGATAGGTAAATATTGCTCGGTTATATTTTGATTCAATCAAATATGTCTTGGTTCGGAGGATCGGTAAATATTTCCCGGTTATATTTGTGTCAACGGACAATGTCTTGGTTTGAGGATAGGTAAATATTGCTTGGTTATATTTGAGTCTATGAACAATGTCTTGGTTGATGATAGGTAATCATTACTCGTTTTTAACTAAGTCTATAAACATCCATTGATTTTTTGGGTCGGTAGATATAGGTGGTTTATATTTTAATCCAAAACTTTTCATAGATTCTGCGTTAGGGATATATTAATAGCTTACATTTTACTCGATAAGTGTTTACTTGCTTCTGGAACAGGTAAATATTTGGCGCTTATATTTATGTTTGTAAGCATGTAGTATATTTCGCAATAGGTAAACATTTTCTTCTTATTTTCAATGTTCTTACATATTTCAATTTTATTCAATGAAGTGGTGTAGCAAATATTATCTCTAATGACATAGTCATTAGAGTAAAAGATATTTACGACTGCATTATTACAGTTAAAATCATTTACAATGTATTCTTATAGAAACATCATTTGTATTGTATACATATAGGAAAATCATTTCCAATACATCATTATAGTAAAATCATTTCTAATGCATAATAATAGTAAAATCATTCCCAATGCATTCTTATAGTAAAATCATTTCTAATGCATCCTAATAGTAAAATCATTTCCAATACATTATTATAGTAAAATCATTTCCAATACATTCTTATAGTAAAATCATCTCCAATGCGTTTTTTTATAGGAAAATCATTTCCAATGCTTACTTATAGTAAAATCATTCCCAATGCATTTTTATATTAAAATCATTCGCAATGCATTCTTATAGTAAAATCATTTCCAAAGCATTCTTATAGTAAAATCATTTCCAATGCATTCTTATAGTAAAATCATTTCCAATGCATTCTTATAGTAAAATCATTTGCATTCTTATAGTAAAATCATTTTCAATTTCTTATAGTAAAATCATTACCAATGCATTCTTATAGTAAAATCATTTCCAAAGCATTCTTATAGTAAAATCATTTCACATGCATTCTTATAGTAAAATCATTTCCAAAGCATTCTTATAGTAAAACCATTTCCAATGCATTCTTATAGTAAAATCATTTGCAATGCATTCTTATAGTAAAATCATTTCACATGCATTCTTATAGTAAAATCCTTTCCCATACATTCTTGCAGTAAAATCATTTCCAATGCAATATTAAAGTAAAATTATTTCCAAAGTATTCTTATAGTAAAATCATTTCCAATGCATTCTTATAGTAAAATCATTTCCTATGCATTTCTTATAATAAAATCATTTATAATGCATTCTTACTATAAAATCATTTTCAATTCATTCACATAGTAAAAAATAATTTTTAATGATGTCCTATATTAAAATATTTTCTACTGCATTTTTATATTAAAAATCATTACCAGTGCATTCCGATCGAAGATAACATTTTCAAAGTATTCATATAGTAATAATTACTGAAATCCTAATCCGTCTAAATCTATTCTTTATTCTGCTTTGCCTTCATTTCTAGCTATGGGTGTCACGGAGGACTTCGTTACTGTAATGAATTCAATCCACTTCAGTGGCCTTATGCTTTAGAGGGGAAATGGTAACGAGCATATAGAAATTGTTGTGTTTAGCAGTAGATAATTCGAAACCCATTTCCATCGCGGTAGCACCAAATGACTTTTATTTTAAGGGCGAACAAGATTGTCGTGTTAGGGGGAAATCGAACTCCGAAGACTCGTACATTTAGGTGATTAATCGAATTTCAATCATGGTTGATGACAGATGATTAATCGATAGGAAATTTTGTCTTTTCTTTCCTTTCTTTTGCTTTTCATTTCTTAAATCTCCTTGAGTGCGTTCGCTTTTCATGTTTTTTTTTTCTTTTCGTTTTCTTTTTCTACTACGTTTCAGATTTCCCTATTGATTCATTCTTTCTCTTTTTCTTTTTTGATCGTTTCTTTTTTTTTTTTCTTTTTCGCTTTCTTTCTTTCAATTCATTTAATTTTTCTTTTCTTTTTCTTTTCCTGTTTTTGTGCTTTTACAACCACATTTCTAATCACTTTACCGGTTGTTTCTTTCTCTCTCTTTTTGTGTACGTTTTTTTAAAGTTTTTTTTTTTTGTACTTTTTTTTTACGTTTTTTCTGCTAAGTTTTTAATTACTTTATTGACTTGTTCTTCCGTTCGTTCGTTCTTTATTTCTTTTTTGTTTTCTTTCTTTCTCTTTTTGTGTCCTTTCTCTTTCTTTTTCTTTCTTTACGTTTTTGTCTTTTTTTTCTGCTGTTTTTAATTACTTCATTGGTTCGTTCTTTCGTTCTTTCTTTTTTGTTTTCTTTCTTTCTCTTTTTGTGTCCTTTCTCTTTCTTTTTCTTTCTTTACATTTTTGTCTATTTTCTGCTGTTTTTAATTACTTCATTGTTCGTTTTGTCCTTTTCTATTGTTTCTAACTGCTCTAGTACTTCTTTCTTTCGTTCTTTCTCTCTTTCTATCTATCTCCCTTTCTTTCTTTTTTCTTTCTTCAGCATTATTTTTCTTTTTTGTTTCTAATTACTTTATCAGTTCTTTCTTATGTTCTTTGCATCTATCTATCTATCTATCTATCTATCTATCTATCTATGCATGTCCGTTCATATCTATCTATCTATCTATCTATCTATCTATCTATCTATCTATCTATGCATGTTCGTTCATATCTATCTATCTATCTATCTATCTATCTATCTATCTATCCTTTTATCTTTCTTTTTATTTTCCTTTTTTTATTGCGTTTCTAATTAATTCTTGTAGGATCTATCTATCTATCTATCTTTGGCTGTTCATATCTATCTATCTATCTATCTATCTATCTATCTATCTTTGGCTGTTCATATCTATCTATCTATCTATCTATTTAATCTATCTATCTATCTATCTATCTATCTATATATATATATATATATATATATATATATATATATATATATATATTTCTTTAGCTCATATCTATCTATCTATCTATCTATCTATCTATCTATGCATGTCCGTTCATATCTATCTATCTATCTATCTATCTATCTATCTATCTATCTATCTATCTATGCATGTCCGTTCATATCTATCTATCTATCTATCTATCTATATTCATTCATTCATATCTATCTATCTATCTATCTTTCTTTTTATTTTCTTTTTTCTCCCGTGTTTCTAATTAATTCTTGTAGGATCTTTCCATTCTTTCTATCTTTATAATTTCTCCATATTAGCTACTGAACTTAAGAAACCTATTTTCCCGAACAGAATTCTTTTAAGAGAAAGATTTCCTAAATTTCAAACTAAAGAGAAAATGATGACAATAAAGATGTTGACATTCCACAGCACTTCAAACAAAAGGTTAGCAAGGAAACGCCCATCAATACTGGAAAGAGCGATAACAGCTACTGGACTTGAGAAGTTTATTTTCCTGAACAAAATTATTTTAAAGGAAGCATTTTATAAATTACAACCAACATTTGGACAAGCTGTTCGGTCAATGAATGTCGAATAAGGAAAGCGTTAACATTACCAGTACTGTTTTATATAAACATTCCGTTAATATTACAATCTGTTCATCTCCCGCCGTTTCTGGGTCATCCTTTTCTTCTATTTCTATTTCCTTCTTTTCGGCGTTTCATTCATCAGATCCTTCTTTTATTTTGAACTTCCTTCCGACCATCTCGTGCTTTCCAAATAGAAATATTTTAGCCGTGCTTATCAAATACTAGCAGTAGAGCCCGGCGTTGCCCGGGGATGTAACAGTAAGAGATAGATCAAGTATCGACCATCATAAAGACTGAAAAATAAAATTGACAAAGATTATTGTTTAAGGTTGACGGACATGCATGTCTTAATTAGTTTTTTTTTTTTTTTTTTTTTTTTACGAATTGGTCAAACCCAAACTCAAACAAAAACATTGTTTTCAATCGTTATGAGTCTACCGATTGAATAGAATTTTATTATAAACAATTGTCTTGTAAATGGAATTTTGAAAGCATTCTGAATGTAAAAATAAAGGAAAAAGTGTGCAAGACAATAAGAAACACTACCTGCCAAAAAAAAGTGAAGTTTTGTTGAAATCGGTTGAAAAATGTAGGAAATCCGATTCCATATATAAACGAACACACACACACACACAGACACACACACAAACAAACAAACTGGGTTTTATAAGTATAACTCGATATGAGTTGTCCCCCTTTCATTCTGGCGACTCATTCAAATTGTTTTCGTGCAAAAACAATTGTGTTTTTCAATTTTGGGCGCTGTCAGAACCACCGCAAGGTAATTTTACGTCGTCCTGTGAAGTTTTGTTGAAATCGGTTGAAAAATGTAGGAAATCCCATCCAATATATAAACGTACAGACACACACACACACACACGCGCGCGCGCACACACCCACACCCACACACACACACAATCTGCGTTGTATAATAAGTAAGATATATAATAAAATTTTATTTTTTATATGACTTTATGAATATTTGGATTTTACCATGTGAATAAACCCGTAGGATATTCCAGTATCACCGTGAGCAAAGTTAAATACGACTTGTTCATTCGATTGTCATTCTTTTTTCTTATTTACCAACCCTTTTTTTCTGTAACTATCTCCCGGCTTTTTTCTTTCGCGTTTTCCTCCTGAATTCTATAATGTATTCATTCATTTTAACCTTATTACACATTTGTATTCAAAAGCATATTTTCTGTGAGGCATCGACTTTTTTTTTTTTTTTTTAATTTTCTTTCTATTTTTTTTATTTTTTGTGCTAATACTTATTTTTCCTTTTCGTAACATTTTTTTCGAGACAGTTCTTTCTTTAATTTATTTTTTGTCGTTTTCCAACTTCTCAAAATCATTCATGTTGTCTGCTTCCTATTTTGTTTAAGATCTGATTTCAATTTTCGTTCCCTTATCGTCGTCGCAGATTCTTTCCCTTTCTTCACATATTAGTTTCTTTCTGCTTTGTCGAAAATTTCCTTTTTTATTCACTTTTCTCGTTATTTTCTTCATTTCTTTTCCGCCATTTTTTTTTCGTCTGTTTCCTTATATTACGCTTTCGGAACATCATACAACTTGTTCACGGCTCACTTTTCTTCCTCATCTTTTTTTATTTATTTTTTTCTTTCATTCTCTTTTTTATTTTTTCTTTCTTTATTTTTTCTTTCTACCTCGGTCTGTCTTTCTTTCTTTATTCGTTTATTTTTTTCTTTCTTTATTTTTTCTTTCTACCTCGGTCTTTCTTTCTTTCTTTCTTTCTTTCTTTCTTTCTTATTCGTTTATTTTTTCTTTCTTATTTCCCTTCTCTTCCGTTGTTTATTTTTTCTTCTCTTTCTTTCTTTTTGTCTTTAATTCATTCTTTTTCTTTCTTTCTTTTTCACTTCCTTCTCTTTCACTCTTTCTTTCTTTCTTGCTTTCTTTACT